AAGGTACCTTTTACATAAATCCAAAATAAGTTTCGTTCAAGAACGAAATGAATTTCATACTGCGTTTACATACAAGATAACTTAGCCTGTAAAAACAAGTATTTATGTCCTTTTCTGTCTTTTTCTATGCTTCCCTCGCTCTTAAAGAGGATTCATACAGACGCAAGTGTCGTACCGCGTTTACATTATTCAGGTACAAAAGGTCGTCCGGAATGAGTGTTTCGTTCTGGAATGGAAACCCCAATAAACTCATTCAGAAATTACTCGTTCTGGATAAATTTTACTCTGGTATCATCCTCTCTTAAGTTACCTACTTATACCATCAGAAGTATTTCAACCAAAACACGTTTCTCTCAACAATTAATATGAGCAAAGACACTCTTGGAGTCAGTAACTAAATCAAGTCAAGTGGCTTGCCTTGTCAGTGTTTTAGTTTTTAGAAACTTACCACAATAACCTGTCCCCCATGAGTGTCCATAAGATATTGGGTCAACCTGAATGTCTTAAACAAGGTGGGTTACCTGGTTTTTGAAATTTACTGGAAATACAAGGTGTCAAACCAGTTATAGTAGATAGCGAGCTTTGCATTACCCATGCAGCTGTTATCCGTCAGATAATACGGCTACAATGTGGTACCTTTATTTTTCAAACAATAAGTAAAACACAGCCAACACTGTATGTCACAAATTCATGTAAAAGCTCTAAAAATGACACAGGTCAGATGTAAGTCCTTAATAAAGACAAACTTGTAGTTTACAGTGAAGAGTTGAAAGCAAGTGCAATAATAGCTTAGACGAGAGAGAATAACTTCCTAGCATAATTTCACACAAAAAATGCAAGTGATCAAGGGGTAGTATAAAATAATTCCTTACCAGATCACGCAGTAAAATTTATGGCAGGTAAGTAAACATAAATTGAAGGATGATCTGTGGATAGCCTACATGCAGCTGTACCCGCCTTATTTTCACTACTGCTCATTAATAAGTAGTGTTCATAACTGTGAAGATCACCTCCATATTAGTTTCTTTATCTGCAGTTCACATATTTTCATATATTTACAGTCTGAAAATTTGTGGTAGTTGCCTTGGTTTGCTGATCTCTTAATTTGGTGTGAGGGTGTTTCTAAAAATTTATTCAAGTCAAAGAGGCATGGTTTTTATAAACAAAAATGAATACATCACACATGCAGAGCAGTCAAGGAAAGCTAATCTTTGAATTTATTGGAAAAATTCATTCAGAAAAAGGAAAATTGTACACCATGAATAAGCACCTCTGAGCTTAAGCACTGGTTTGACACACACTTACAGTGAAACATTTACTACATTTTGTAGGCAGATCCCAAAACAGGTGAATGGGAGTAATTGCTAAATCTTTCCTCTCAATTTTTTTAGCTGTAAATTAACCGATGTTCAGTAGATGCTGATTATAAAAAGGAGATTAACAAAGATACTGGGCCCAGTGGCTCTACAAAGCAGACAACTATGGATCTGGGCCGGGTTGTTCAAAGCTGGGTTAAGATAACCCAGGGTTAGTGTGAAATTTGATTTTAGGTCTAAAAGCTGTAAAAGGAAATTCAGTTGAATTCTTTTAGTCTAGAGTATGACTATTTGACACTTCAAATAGAGCTTGACTGAAAATTATCCCAAAAAGGCTTTTGAGTAAAGGAATAAGGAAACCCAGATTAAAATTTAATCCTGGGTTAGCGCTAATCGGCCTTCGAACAACTGGGCCCTGAGCTACATCTTAGGTCTGTTTAAGTTTACAACGACTAAATGCTATTCTTTCCACCAGAGGATTGTTCAGATTTGTAAGGTTGCTGATTAGTCACTATGAACTCTTTGGGGGTTAAGAATAAACTGCCATTAAGCAATGCCTTAATTCCATCTAAGGTAACACCCTCAAAAAAATTTCACTTAGGCATGTTTTCCAGAAAGTTGTGTAGCATTCTAAAAATGGTATTTACTGTACAATCTTGATTGCCATAATCCTGACCACTTTTTCCCCAAATCCTAATTAGTTTCTCTGAGGCTGTAAAGCAGGGTAACCATGAGGGAGTCCAGATCCAGGACCTGTACTGCCAGGACCAAGAAGAATCTGGATAGTAATAAGAAAAAAATGAGAAACACTTGCCTAATTATGCACTTTAGAGAGGGAAGAATAATTTCATAAACAAACTGTGATAAATACATGTACCAAAAAATCTACTTAACAGCATTGCCTATCATTGTGTGGAGTTAGCAGCAGCTTCTGGAAAACAAAAGTCCTCAGAAAGGAGATGTGGGTACAGGCTGAGTTTCTTGAACATGTTGAATTGAAATTTGAGTGAACATGTTCTTGCTTAACTTGAAATCAATTTATTGTAGTACTTGTTATTCAATGGAATGGAATGGGAAAAGGATTGATTTGGAACATAACATCTACTTGTTGTTTAAATCAATAGACAATGTTCTACCAATCCTACACGTATATAACTGTTAAACGTTGCAAAGAATTCAAAATGTTAAAAAAAAAAAAAGAAAAAGAAAGTAAAATTGAATTACGGTCAACACGCCGACGCCAACTCGCAGACGTATAAAATCGAGTAGAGACGTCGGCGAGTTGGTCCTCGATCCAATACAACTTGTTAGAAGTTAAACATACAGAAAAGTAAACGATATTTAGTAAAAAACATTGGCGAACATTGGTGAACATCAAACAGAAGCTCAAACATTGGTTAACATTGGTGAACATAACCGATGACTATAACAGCTTCAGACACGAACGAGTTATTGTGCAACAACAACACCTTAAAGACTCATCATGTCAATGGCTCAGATTTTTAAAAAAAAACTTGGCTTTCTAGACAAGATCTTTAGTAAAAAGCAATTCTTTTTATTTGCAACAAAGTTTATAAGGATCTCAAGGCGAGTAAAGCGAAGTAAACATCCCCAATGACTCTAACAGCTTCAGACGCGAACGAGTTATTGTATGACAACAACACCGTAAAGACTCGTCATGTCAATCGCTCAGATTTCCTAAAGAAAACTTGGCTTTCTAGACAAGATCTTTAGTAAAAAGCAATTCTTTTCATTTGAAACAAAGTTTATAAGGATCTCAAGGCGAATAAAGTGAAGTAAACATCAATGAACGCCAATGAACAAAATTGGCTGTAGACGCGAATGAGTTGTGTGACAACAACACCGTAAAGACTCATCATGTCAATCGCTCAGATTTTTTAAAGAAAACTTGGCTTTCTAGACAAGATCTTTAGTAAAAAGCAATTCTTTTTATTTGCAACAAAGTTTATAAGGATCTCAAGGCGAATAAAGCAAAGTAAACATTGCCAATGACTATATCCGCTTCAGACGCGAACGAGATAGCTCGTTCTCGTCTTAAGCTGTTATAGTCATTGGTGATGTTCCCCAATGTTCACCAATGTTTAAGCTTCTTCTTCACCAGTGTTTTTTTACTAAATATCGTTTACTTTTCTGTATGTTTAACTTCTAATAAGTTGTACTGGATTGAGGACCAACTCGCCGACGTCTCCACTCGATTTTATATGTCGGCGAGTTGGACCGTCGGTGAATTGACTGGATACCGAAAAATTAAATTATTTAGCGCTTATCCGCTAAATGGAATGTGTCTAGCCAATGGTTTCAGCCGTGGTTTTAGCATAGAAGAGTATTTTTTTAAAAGAACATTTATTTAACAAATGACACAAAACCCTTCACAAGGTTGACACCCCTCTTTTTTGCACGGATCTATGCACATATATACTGGAACCTGAATTCACCAAACTAAAAGAAACATCATCTTTTTTACACACTATTGGACTAATAACTGATAAGGCCTTAAAAAAACCTAGAATCTATCGTTTCAGCGAATCCTGCTTGCCTGTCAGGCAACTTGTAATAACAACATGGTAGCCTGATGAGAATTTTCATTACCCTTGGACTATTAGACAGCATTTTTGTTGCATACTGTTGAGTCTTTAAGTTTAAAAACGCTTACTCCAAATATGTAAATTTTTGCTAGAGTCAAGGTGAAAATCTCAAGCTTCTCCTGATCTTGAATGATTTTCTGACCAATGGCAATCATGACAAGCCATATACTAGAATTTCCATTTGTGTATCATATCCGTTTCACTGTTCTTAAAGGTTACTTTCAACTAAATTTGGTCAAAATTTGCAAAATTTTATTTTTAACTCTTTAGTTAGAAGAATCAAATATTTGTTTAATTTGCTGCAAGAAAAAAATATGAAATCCCACCGAATCTCAAAACCAAAAGAGTCTTTGATGAACAAGACAATAGTAAGTCTTTCTCTAACTGAGAGGAAAAAAAATTGTTGATAATGTTGACCAGATTTTGTTGTGATTAAACATAACCAAATAAACATGGTATGTAGATTTGTCAGATTTTGATGAAACCTGGCCATTATATTTGTCCCAAGCATAATGTCCCAAGCATAATGAAACCCTAAATAAATTCTAATGTCCAAGTTAAAAATAGATTATCTCAGGAAAAAATTGGAACTGCGAAGAGGCTCACACATCTTATCTGTCTTGGGTTAAACTTCATTTTGTTTGAATGTCTCATTGGATGTTCAAGTAAATTAGCCAGAATGTTCCTCAGGTATTAATGCACCAAAGTATGTGAATCTTATACAAAATTCATATTTCTCTTGTGATGTCCTGAAACATAACTTTAACATAACTTTTCTTTATAACTGAAATATTTTCTATTGTCCAACTTCAAAATAGATTTCTTAGGAACCAATCAAATTATTGATCTTGCACACTTAACTAGCCTATTATCTGCTGAGTGATACTCTCTTGTTTGTTTGAAGGTCTGTGCTAAAGCAGAGGCTGATAATTCAGTAGAGCAAACAGCTTTTGTTTTGTGTTTAAAGGCTTGTGCGTGCCCACCAAAGGGTACCTATTTTGTTGACAGTAACCTCCTTGTTAGCACTGTAATGCTATTATCTTTGTTTACAAGGTTTTCTCTCAATCTAACTTCTAAGTCCTCTGACTGAAAAGTGCCACAGGATTGTTCTAGTCCATAGGAATGTTTCAATTGATGTTCAATCCCACTGATTATTTCCATAAGATAATAAAACTAAGTCATGAGCTCCAACTGTTTGCACAGCTTGCATTTCAAATAAGATTGCTGACAATTTTTTTAAGATTCACTGTTCCAGATTTGAGCCTTAACTCAAAATTTTGGTAATACAACAATGTTAAATAAAGACAGTGAGAATCAGTTTGTTAAATCAAAATTGCATGTTTGAGATTAAATAAGTGAGAACTTCATTCATGTAACTTCTGCAAAAGCTACTGAAACATAAGATGAGTTACTTAGATACTCAATAGCATCATGATTTATTTAACAATGTTATCATCTAAGAGCACAAGTGCTTGTTCAAAATACACACATGGTTACTGGATTCTTAAAGCTGGTAACCACAAAGTGGTTTTTTAACTCACTTGTCTTTGCTGTTGAAGTTGTGCTTCTTCTGTTTGAACTCTTTCTACCTCAAAAATAACTGGCAAGGCAAGTACAACAAATGATGTACTCATAATCCAAAGCGATTTCCCTGTGAAGTTGTAGAGCCACCTAGCACCAATAGCCACACCTCTTGCAGCATTTCTAGAGCCTTGACGCACAGATTCTGGAAACATCTCTGTCAAGCCTATAAGTCTCTCTATCAGAGTTTCATCAACATCATCAAGATTCTAAAATGAAAAAAATTTAATTTCAGGTTACTGTCAAAAAAGTCTGGTCAAAATTTACAAAATTTCATTTTTTTGCTCTTCATTTGGAGAAAGCAGTTACTGTAAAGAGAGCCAGATATGGCCAAAAGAGTGTCTCAGAGGAACTTGTACTGAAGAGCGCAAGGTGTCATAATGGGAAAGGCTTCCAGTGTGGATATTCCGCAATCTCAATTTTGCATATTCTGTTTACATTGCCTCTTGCACTACACAACAAAATGAAATTTCTGACATATTTCACAACAAAACAAGTATTCATCAAGAAATAAGTCTTTATCAAACAGCCAAAATGAGAAAAGTGGCAGGAGAGCCGAGCCGAGCTGAGCCAAAGAAATCAAAGTAAAGTTTTTCTTTTAACTTGCTCTTCCTTCTGTTTTTCTCAATGAAGTTTGGATTTTGGTTGCTCCATTGTATATTAGTTTTTCCCATTTTGTAAAATGATTTTCCCTGCAAATTTCAAATTCTTTTTTTTCCAATACTTGCCAGGGGGTTCAAAGTTGCATTTCATTGATCAGCAACAGTATTGACACATGCATGTGAAAAAATTCAAGGTTAGTTTTTATGTGAGTAACTTCTTTTTAAACAAATTAATAGGATATATATGTGGATTTAAAATATTCTCATGAAAATTGACCAGAATGTTCCTCAGGTATTAACCCACCAAAATGTTATTCCTATTGTGATGCTTCGCAGTGTGATAAGAACTGAAACGTTTACCATTGCCCAACTTTAAAGTAGATTTTCTCAGGAACTAACAAAAATATTGAAAAAGCCTCCCACCCTTTCTTGGCCCTTTATTTGCTGGGTGATATCCTTCTATTTGTTTGGAGGTCTGCAGTAATGCAGAGGCGGGAAATTCAGTGAAGCAAACACTGTCAGTTTTAAGTATAGAGGCTGGCACACCCACCAAAACCAAAAAGTTTTTGCTATGTTTATAATATGTACTTTATAAACTTTACAGTGATATATAGATTTTTTATGGTTTCTGATCAAGTAGCACACAAAGAATGATTTTTCTGTAGGGTACCATATTCTGTTAACAGTAACCTTAAGCACTCAAAAATCCTTTTAAACCTTCATGAAGGAGGCAATTTCTCATTGTATAACATTGATGAGAGGCCTTGTGCATAACTTGACCCCACAAGGAAAAATGATCATCTCATTGGTAAATGTTGGATGTGAAATGGTAAACTGCAACTGAGTTCAATAGTATTTATTGGCTACAGTGTATGTACAATCTTGTACCAGCCATTTGCAAACAGAACATCAGTTTTCACTGACTTTCCATGTTAGAACAGAACCATTTAGGCTTTGATGTTATTTCAATGTACAATTCTCCAAGTTAAAAGAAAATGTCAAGATGTGCTGTCATGCAACTTCCCATCAAGCTACAATGTGGATGATTTTAAAAGAATGTATGAATTGCTGAGTGGAGTGCAATTAGGTTGGAATCATTCCTACAACTTCAAAATGGAGTAAGTGTGTAGTGGATGTCTGAACATGAGGTTTGATTACCATTTATTACATCCATGTGCCGCATTCCAAGCTGCCACCATTTTGGTTACTATGCAAGTAAAAGATGTACATTTTGCATTAGGCAATTAAAATTTTGATAACAGTTGCCAATTGGCGACCAAAAAAATAAAGAGGGAGACTTGAAAAAATCATTGATCCTTGTTTGAATTATCAATTGCTAATGTGCTAGTGTTTCTCTTTTTCTCTCCCACTGTTTTGTGAGTTCCAGATACCCAGTAAGCTAAAAAAGGGTGATAATGTCAAACTGATTTTGTTGAGATAATCCTCATTTAATATTACATAGAGTATTGAAGTCCAACAATCAACTATGCAGTACAAAGTATGGTGTCTAACTATAAGTGATTCAGGATGTTATTTACAATATGGAAGGTTTTAATAGCAATAGTTTAGCTCACCCCAAATGAGAGAGGTTTCTCAGCTGGCAATCAATCAAAATGGTATTAATCTGGTCTCAGCAAATTTATTCAAAATTGTTTCTACTACCAGACATTAGAGCTCCTTCATCCTTTTTCTCTTGACCATTATTACAACATTTCAATTTAACAAATAGAAGGATTGCAAGCACATTGTTTGGCTCATTAGTTTTTTTGGTGTTTTTTTTTAAGGGGGAGGGAGTGACCTAAAATTCTTAACAGCAATCATTGTACAATTGAAGGTAGTTAAAAGGCAACTTAAAAAAAAAATGAGTTTGGAGCCCTGATGCAGAAATGATACAATTGTATCACTCAAATACAACTCTCAGTCAGTAGCAAGATTTTGTTGTCCAGTAACTGTTTTCTTTGTTTCAAAGTGGAATCAGAAATGCCTTTTTGTGTCCAAAAAGAAAATTTTGAGACCTTGTGTCAAAATTTATTGCTGTATTAATTCAAGACAGGTTTGGGACCGTGGGTTGCCAAATTTTCCATGAAAGTGGGTTTCTTTGACTTTCACTTTCCTCCAATTTGACCTGTTACTTCAAGAGAGCTTTGAAATCCGATTGGTTGTTTTTCTCTTAGTGTTTCTCTCTCATTAAGTGTGAAAGATGTGATTAAGAGAAAAAGATAATACAATTAAAAAAAAAAAAATTTGTCATTTCGCATTAACATTAAATTTGTACTTGTTTTTGAATCCCAAACCCTCCACTATAAGCCGAACCCTGTTTTTTGTGAAAAAAATCTCTCAAATTTTTGTGTCAAATACTGAAAAAATCGCTTGGCTTATAGGTGAAGAAATACAGTAGGTATATAATTAAGAAGGCTTATACTGAGCAATCTTGTATTCTGTTTTAAGCTGTCCTCATATCAATTGACTCAACTTCTTCAGTGTAATTAATTGGAATTTGTATTAAAGATGTACTTGGTGACTCACAAAGGTGTTGCTGTGCCCATGGGCAGAGATAGCAAAATTCGGACCATGCTAAGAACCACTGAGATTGCAAAATTCATTACCCTGCCCGCTGAAAAAAAGATTTATATTTTAAAAATTACTGATTTTTATTTTTACTAGTTTTGTTTCATAAATGACAGTAGGCCAATTAGATCGCATGGATCACCAACAATTTTATTAATAGTTATCTTTTGGACAGGTAGGTTGAAAAGGGATACCAAGTAACTTACATTTGCATTTTGGCAAAAGAAAAAGAACATTCCCTCTTAAAAGACTCCAGTGAAAAGTATTGTTCAATGGAGGGCAAAAAAAAACAACTTCTGATTTATCTGAAATAAACTGGAAAATGACATTTCATCTAAGAAAGTCTAGTCCATAGTGACAAGTAAACACATAATTATATCAAGAAAATAAGGTTTGAACACAAGATGTAATTCATGGAGAGCTTTTAAAAGCAGAGAAACAGTCATTTCTCATCACAGTCAATGCAGAAAGTTAATATAACTTGCTAACCTTTTCAACCTTTGCCAGTAGAGCGATCACAATGTTAAATCAAGATTATCGATCATATATATTTTAGGCAAATGCTAAATGGAATTATTAGCTTTATCAGAAAAACAAGCCCTTGCAAGACAAACACATTGCCGATAATTTTGTGCTAGGCCTTTAGCTGATAGTGTGTGTGTTGTGAAGTAGTGATTTGCAAAACACTTTTAAACTTCTGTATGGTTGAAAAATTCCCTAGAGACCTTTCTAGCTCCAACAGATCATACCAATAAAGTCCTCACAAAGGACATGAACCATTACACTGGGTAGATGAGCTCACAATTCTTTGTTAATGAAATCTTTGGTGTGTATCAATGTTGGGTTGATTCTATCACAACATATTGCAGTACCCTAATTTCATGGCACAATTGGCATGAGGAATGACACTCTGCCGCTGTGATTGATGCAAGCATACCCCAATGCTATGATCTGATTGGTATGAGATACACACCCAAATGTAGCAATCTGATTGGTGCGAGGAACATACCACCTGCTAACATAGTTATTTTTGATGATTTTAGATATATGAAATTCATATTTGCACTGTGGTGAAGAGTATGGGCCTGAATTTTTTTCAGGTCCTATTTTCAACTACTCGTTTCGGTAGTGTTCTCAGCTGCGAGGATCTCTTAATTTCATAGTTATTTTTCGTTGTAAAAAAAATCAATGTATGTGATAAACTAAAAAATAAACCCTAGCTGACACAGATTGACATATTACTGACTTCATTGACTGAAAAAATGAATACCAGAATTTTACCTTGAAATTTGATTTTTGATTGGAATATACCGTGAGTTAACCGTCAATTTAGAGGTTGATCGAAGATGAAATATGCTTTCATATGAGGAGAAACATGTTTTGGCATATTTAACACTTTAGAAGCTAAGACATGGACCAACCCGAATTCAAAAAGGGGATAAACTTCTCAAATTCGGCAGAGCGAATCTACAACGGGGCGAAGCTCACGTTTAACTACACTTTTACCTCATCATCAAAGCCAATAACCTCGGGCATCTTCAAAACTTCCACGAAGTGTTGCACGAAGGATTGCACGAGGGACTCAAATCGCAGCCTGGCCTCGTCAAAGTTCCGAGTTAAATCTGGGACTGGCTAAAAGAGGGGCGAGCGTCCGGGTCATTTTGACTTCTTGTTAGCTGAATAATCATACCGCTGACAAGGGGGCAAATTTACCCTGGGCTCGACATTGCGACGCAAGGCTCATCCTCAAAATGGCTGACATAGTGAACCGCTATCTCACACATCTACATTCTTTGTCCTCATCGGATGTACCTCAGCGTGGTTTAGACGCAAGTAATACTGTAGTAGATCTCCGCAGTTTTTGCTTGGAGAACGTATCCGGCAAGGAAGAAGGTACATGTACAATAAGGGTGCACCAAAGCGTCAAATAAAGTAAATTATGACCAAAATTATGATAAAAATAAGTAACGACTCTCTCTACAAATCACATCGGTAGAATTAAGTAATGAGGTCTTCAAGTTGAGGAGTATTTGATTGCTGCGATGAATTCCCCATTTGCGTTGCTAATTTCTGCCTCCAATGATATTTGATACTCTCGAACTGCATAGTACCGGAAGCTGGCCATGATATGCTGTGTGTTTGGTCACTGGGTTCATCCAGTTCGACTCTTACAGTTCGCTTCGTAGTTTGACATCATAGCTGTCGTATCCCACTGTATAAATTGGGGAGTGTTAGTCATGCTCCAGTTTGAATTCATTTTGCTAAAACTGTGGAAAACAAGGTAATTTAGTTTTATTAACTGAGTTGATAACGTAAATTTGCCACCTTAAAGAGTTTTAGAAGCTGATGTTTCAAGCCCCTTGTCATAGCCAATGGAGGAATTGTGAATTGTCATACACACATCCCACTTTCCTCAGTTTGCTCTGTGGTTGTTCCTAAGCTCAAGTTCGAATTGGAAAGGAGCAGGGTAAACCAGGATTGACCAGAATTGAACAAAGAATATCACTCCATAGCTTTTTCTTTTTTTGTAAGGCTAAGCATGGTTAATTGTTATATTTTGCAAAATGAGCAATTTTCTTCCTCAGTACATGTAAGGGTCCAACTTGGGTTTGGTGGGACATGGGATGATGATTAAAATTGAGGAGGGTTGTGGGATATGGGAAATTTCAGAGGCAGGATGTGGGATGAAAATAGTAAGGTGGGACTGAGATACGCTCAGTTTCAAAGGCGGGATAGGGGATAGGACAAGTATAAGTGGGATCATAATTTAGCTTAAGTTACAAGTCAAACAACCTCAGAGACATTGAAAAATATTTATTTGCTGTATAAATGGGCTTAATTAATGCTCCTGTGTAAATTGGGGTTGACTTGCCTAATTGACTCAGTTTACTTTATATTTGTTAAAATTGTTAATAGTCCTACACAGCTCCATAGTATCTTATAATTTTGCTCTCACAGGTATTCCTTTGAATGAATGCCTCTTTCTGTATGATAGTATTGGTTCTTTGATGATTCCTCTTTGCAATGGTCATTGCTGTATTAAATGACACTTACTCATAAGCATTTTTTTAAGGTTTGAAACTGTTGGATAGTATTGTGTTACAAAGGGCAAGATTCGATTGCTTGTTTTTCCCTGTTAGAGGAGGGTCTGTGTAATTTACCTCCTTCAAATTTCACCTCTGCCTCTCTCTGCCAGTTGTGTTTTGAGAAATTTTTTTTGAAGAGTTTTTCCTGAGGAGTCATAATGCTCTGCCTTTAGCAAAGCATTTTGCTCCCAGTGGGTAACATGTTGTGTAGAACGAGTACTGGAATGTCTCTGTTGGTTTGAGGGGGGTTTTTTTTTTATCGAGAACTGACTCCCTGTTGAATCTTTCCTCCTTATATAAAGTCATGTCTTAGAAAGTAGCTTCGGAAACAGATATTTCAGCCATAAATTTGATTGTTGGGTGGTATTTATTTGCTTAAGTTTGTTCAATAAACTGGTTGACAGCATCTCTGTTGGTGTGCAGTAGAGAGATTGTATTGTCAATATTACAACAAATGAGCAGTTTCTTAGCACTTCTATCAAAGATTTGTGTTGCAATTTTTGCCATGAAGATGCTTGTGAAAGCTATTGTCTTTTCAGTCACCATGGTGGTTCCATGTGTTTGCAAGTAATTTTGTTCCTTGAATTGGAAGTTTTTTGTCTCACCTATTAACACTATAAACACACTGAGGAACAACTGTTTTCCTTTTGAAGCTGGCTAAATATACCTTTAAAAAGTATTTGCCTTTCTCCATAATCATGATTTTCTCCGATTAACCCATCAGTTTTAATAAGGCAGTGAACTATTAAGCAACCTGGCTTTAACCCAGTAGGATCAGGATGGAATGAAAAATAGTAGCAGGCTGTGGGAATTGAAAAGTCCATTTTGGACCCTCCAAAATGGAGGTTACTAGAAGCAGTTATTGTGTTATGTAACCTAAAATTAAGGAAAATTAATCAATAAATGAAGAAAGAGTGATTCCAGTTGTTATGATGGTAACAAATTGACACTCCGAGATTGGAACTGCCAATAAACAGAACCTTGAAAATGCAAATTGGAGGGAATAAAATTCGACTTCAGTAATATTGTTGAAAATATCATGTCTTGATTTGTCTAATACTTTAAAAGAGGTTGTTCTGAAGAATCAAACCATTGCATTATAGGATGCAGTTTTAGATTTTACTGTAAGAACTTGTTATAATTATTTGGATGCAATGTTCAAGGATGGCTAGAAGCTATTTGGAACTGAAATTGACTCATAGAGCAAACCTGTCAGAGATGGAATTGAAAATATATAATATACATTCATCATTAATAATTATTTATTCTGGTTTTTTTAATTGAATTTATTTGCAGCTTATTGTTCTTCACTTTTATTCAGTGGTGAGACAAGCATAGTTAACTTTTTGAGGAAAGCCATCACTTTGGATGAGGTATGTTCTATTTGTGGAGGTCTCAAAAATGAAGTGAATTTAATAGGTGAACATTATATTTCCTGCTAGGTACAACCTACTTGGGTAGGAAGTGAACTAAAAGCTCTAATGGTTATTCAGCTATGGAAATAATTTCTATACTTGATTTATTTCTTGGTTTAAATAAATCCTAACTTAGAGAAATGGGGTTTATCCAATCATTTAAAATTGAAAAATTACTTAAAATTAAACTTGTGATTAGCAGAACCAGACTTTGTTTGTACTACTGAATTTGAATTTTGGTTATTGAGAAACAATTCTTGTCTGAACAAGAGCAAGACTGAATTCAAACTATGGAAAGGTAGACAGACCTGGAGAAATAAATAAACTTGACTTGACCTTTGAATAGGCAACATCAAGATAATTTAGTAGATTCAAAAATTTACTCTTTGGTTTTGGAATAAACAGACATGTGAGAGTGCACATGAGTAAGACTTGATTATCACATGTACATAACCAACTTGGATTGCTGAGTATGGCCTGGAATTGGACAATTTGATAAACCAGTGAAACTGGAATCACACAAAGGCACAGACCTGTATCTTCTTCACTTCACTATCTTGCCATTTTTTTAACAGCATTATCAATTTTAAGGACAGGGCTTGGTAATTATTAGGGATCTACTTTTGCATGGCCAATTATTATGCAAGCATAAGGCCATTAAATTAAAAAATAAATTTGGGGTTGTTGCACAATATTCTGAGATAGAGAGGTTTGAAATGTGAAAAAAGTGCTGACATTGCATTTTTAAAAAAGTAAAGGAAAATAAAATTTCCTGATAATGGGCCAAAAAAATTCCCAAGTCAGCAAGTCTTAGAAGCAATGGAACAAGCTTTCTAGTCAACAACACTGCTATTCTCTGAAGGGATGTGAATTATGAGATGAAGTGAAAACCATACTCTCCAACTTCAATTGAGGCATAGCAACTATTTTCCTCTTGTTTTTTTATGGGGAAAATTGTCCACTAAATTTTCTTTTTCAGTTTTAACCAAAGGTGGCATAATTAAACTAACTGGAACTGTAAATTATAGGGGTGAAAATCCCTTTCACTGTAATTGTTTGTTCATATAATCATTGCTGGAGATACGTTTTTCCACCTACACATAAGCATGCAAGACCATGGCATGATGTGCAACCAGTGTGTGCAATGGCAGTAGTGATCTTTTTGCATCATGTCTTACAGATATTTAACTCTCAAAATGTCTTTTTATACATGGGTAGATGTCAAGTTACTTAGATAACCATGTTTAAAAGTGTGCTTGCACATGGTTGCTGCAGGTCAAGGAAAAGTTAAGGAAATAAAATTTTATTTTTATTACAGATGCACTCCACTAGATTACAAATAGACAATAAATGAAATGAAATTTATCACTAAAATAAAGAAACGTTGTGGATAAGAAGACAACCAAAAGTGCTGAGGCACCATGCTAGGGATGTCCCACCAATTAAGGTGTAAGAGCATTAACAAATATAAAAAGAGAAGTTCTAATCAACTGTAATAAAATTTAAAGCATTCATTTTAAAAGCTGCAATACCATTTGATTCTCTAATATGATTAGGTAAACTATTTCATTTATTAACTATTTGGTTAAAAAAGCTATATATGAAATAAAACCATTAGTTCTACTAAAATTTAGAGCAAGGTCCTGTGTGTCATTTTTCTTCAAGTTATAATTTATAAATTTCTTATCCTTACAAAATAGGAGCTTATTTGAAATATCTATATCATACTGTCCATTAATTACATTGAACAAAAATGTATCATCTTTTATGAATCTCCTACTGGGTAATGACTGCAATTTTAACTGAGATAATCTAGTGCTATAATCATCATCAGACTTAGTAATCCAACTGGTGGCTCTTTGCTGTTATGTTTTATGTGTGGGTTCCAAGTTTCACATGCATATTCTAGTAAAGGTCTCACAAGAGTACAGTAAAGTGTTTTCATAGTTACTGTATCAATGTCATTTATGTCCCTACAAGTCCTTTTAACCAGCCCTAAAACCCAATTAGCCTTTAGTAGTTATTTTATCCACCTGTTGGTGGAAAAAAAATTTCTTCAAGGTCAAGGAAAAGTCAGGAAATTTAGCAGTGAGTTGGGGGAAATTTATATCTTTAAAGAAAGTAAGAGAAAGGAGAATCTCCTA